TCGTTGCCCGTATATACACTTGTACACATATTCCGACGAAGCAAGGAGAAAAGGCGATAAAGCGCGCGTACACGTACAGTCCATCGCTGAACCATTCATTTGTGTTAGTAATTTAACGACGATGTGTATGCGCACACACTTCGTTCGAACGAGTGCGGCTGCCGCTGTTGCCGACGCAACGAAATAACTGATATTCCAACTATCCAGTGGATATTACATATCTATATTTCATTGTTTGAATTCAAGCGAAAAATATGGAAAGATATACAGATATTTGCATGTAATAGGCCAAAATTTACAACAAAATGACCATTTTTGGTACCAAAGAGTGATTTTGAGCCAAAAAGGTAGATAGAACAAGATTTTTCTGGGTTAATATGTTGAACAAAGTTGTCCAGTTATACGTTGGCTACAAAATTACTGAAAATAATGGCCATGAAAATTGGATACGCTGCGAGTTATGATTGAAAAATGGGCATTTTTGCGATTTTGAGGGCCTAGATGAATTTTTTTGGGTAAGTTTGTTTTACATTTTTTTTGTCCATTCAATACTACAACTTCGCTAAGACACAAAAACAATGTTCCGTACGGTTCACCGAGATATACCCTTGTGAAAATATCGAAAAAGTGCTCAAAATCCAGTTTGAGCAAAAAATACACGATTTTATAAAATGAAAAAGGTAGCCAAGTTGGCAAAACGAATGATGCAGAATTTCTAGTTTTGGTAAGTACTTTCAGCAGCGATACTCAAAACTTATGCCCGCATCGATGACCGAAAAAATGTTGCACTGTGATTGCCATACCTTTAGTGCAAAAGCATTTATTGCTCTCCCTAACGCAAACGCCATCTATTCGGTGTGAACATGAAAACAAACAAAGTGACTCCAGCTGCCAACCGATATATGAATCGGTGGAAATGCAGGCAGTGTATAAAAAATATGCCGAAAAAAACGAACCACAGCGTTTCGTCTATATAGAGATGTTGTTGTATTATAACTCTGTATGGATCAATTTGTTTGTTTTCATGTTCAAATTGAACAGATGGCGCTCACGTTAGGTGAGGCAATAAATGTTTTTGCACTAACCGTATGGTGATTGCATACCATTGCATCATTCACCAAGAAAATTTGTTCGCCGAAATCGTGGAAAATGATTGCTCTTTTTTGACTACAGTAACCAAAATAAGTGAATAGCTGCAAATGGATTTTTATTTGTTGTCTCTTCTTTCTTATTTTTCGTACTGATAAATATTGTTTATCACAGATCATCAACAAAATTCGAGCCAGTGATCTACTACTGTGGGCAAAAAGTATCCAGGAATTTGAATTTCCCGCGGACTGGCATTTCGATAGGGACAAATCTTTTTATTTTTAAGTTGGCAGTACTGTCATTGACATCTGCGCCAAATTTCATGTTAATATCTCAACTCCTTAATTAGTTACGCTTGTGTTTTGTAAACAACCAAAAGTGCATTTTTCGATTTTTGCGATGTCTGAAATTATTCAACAAAGAAGTTTCAAATTTGTTTGCGGAATGAAATTATTGCAGCTGAAGTGTTGAGAATGTTGCAGAAGGCCTTCGGTGAACAGGCTCTATCAAAAACACAAACATACGAATGGTTTAAAATGTTCAAAGAGGGTCGAGAAAGCGTCGAAGATGAGGAGCGTTCCGGACGGCCATCCACTTCAACTGATGAGCAACACGTCAATGCAATCAAGGAATTAGTGCTCAAAAACTGTCGATTGGCTGTTAGAGACCTGGCTGGACTTGTAGGAATATCAGAAGGATCAGTGAAGACCATTTTGAGAGACCATTTGTGTCTGAAAAAAGTCAAGTCTCGTTTGGTGCCAAAAACGCTCAATCACGCTTCATTTTCTTCGTAACTTTTTCGCCAAAAACTCAACGCATATCGTTCCGCAACCGGACTAAAAGCCGAATCGAAGAAGGAACTGAAGGCCATCCCGCCCGGGGACTACCAGAATTGTTTTGAGGATTGGAAAAAACGTTGGCATATGTGCATTGGATCGGGGGGGGGGGGGGGGGGTTACTTTGAAGGCGATCAATTTGATTTTGAAGAATAAATGAAGATTTTTTGAAATATAAACAATTTCCGGATACTTTTTGCCCACAGTAGTACGTGTGCGACGTTTTAAATTACTCACGTATGAATTAGAATCCAAATTTTTGGGTGTCCTGTATTTCAACAGTATTCGTTGGATCAATTGTAGCCAAGTATTCAACCGCTTCTGCGATATATTCCGCGAAATTCAACTGTTCATGGAAGGAGAAGAATGGGGAGAAGAATTCAGCTAGATAAAAACGTTTCAATGGAAACAACAGCTTTACTTTCTATGTGACATTACAACGCACCTGAGTGACTTGAATTTGAAACTTCAAGGCAAAAACAAATTTGTTTGGGAGCTAGCCAAAGATGTTCAAGAGTTCAAAATCATGTTGAATTCATTCAAAGACCAACTCAACGATAACGATTATTATTTCTTCCCAAGACGACGAATTTTACGATAACGAGATGTTCATTAAAGTTATTGATGATTTGATCAATATATATTCAATACGCGATTTTCAGATTTCGAAAAATATAGTTTGGTATTTAAGTTCCTGAGAAATCCGTTCATTTTTGATGAAAACAACATTCAAATGGTGGCAGATCGGTTTGAAACGAATAAAAATCATCTACAGTTTGATATTGCTCTGATTAAGGAAAAAACTTCTTTACCAAATGAAAAAAGCGATGCTTTATGGAAGCGGCTGCTCTCTGAGTGTAATTTTATCACACTTAATAAAGTCGTATCAAAGTTTTTTTGTATGTTTGGTTCAACGTACGTTTGCGAAAACAATTTTTCAAGTATGACTCGCCGCAAGTCTAAATATCGCAACGCTTTGTCACAAAATAACCTCGAATCTGAATTTCGTTGTGAATTTACACCGGTTAAAATCTGGATTTTGTCAAAATGATACAGTATAAGGTGCTACCATCCATCTCATTGATTTCTCAATAAACAATAAACAATAAATGATATTTGTTGATTTAATAAATATTTGAAAATATATATACATAAACATACTAAAAAATAATTGGTTTTAGTGTGTTTTTTTTTCTCGATAGGAATCAGTGTCACTCTTGTGGTACCCGCAGAAAATAATTTGGACAGGCCTATACTATTTGTTTCAGTGCTCTGAGAGTTTTTTTTAAAGAAGGGAATGATTGAGATGAGAATGTTTGTGTACAAAAATAGTTTCGTCAATTCAAAGAGCTGTCAATGAGCTGGAATAATTGATTATATTCAAGTAGTGTCATTACCTTTTTGATTCATAGTTTGCATTGCAAATGTCCCAAAATCACAGCCAATTACACTTTAATCAGAATAAACGCAAAAAATGAAAAGAAACCAACACTCAAGCATCCAATTTTCAATGTATCTTTATTGAATATTCATTCACATTTCGTTTTGTGTTTTCAGTAACATCATCTGTAATATCTGTATTACATCTATATTTTGTTTTTGTTTTTAATGTACCAATTAAGGTAAATGTGTTTATTCATTCAAATATTTCTTAAAGACTAATAGCATTTTTTGTTTTGTTTCTTTTACTTGATTAAATGTGATTGTTTTTTAAATTTTCCCGAATATTTTACAGAGTTTTGAATATTAATTAATTCAATCAATTTTAATGAATATCCATCATTTTTTTAAAATCCTCCCTTTCTCACTGTGTACATATGCGAACGCATAAAATTCTGAACTCATTTTTTTCTACCTTTGTTTTTCTTTTGAAGACAAAAGAAAACAAATCCTTTTTTTCCGCTCCATTCGTGCTTATTGGTTCAGAATGCAATATCTTTTTTTTTAAGTTTTAATAAAGAAGTAATTAAATTGTTTTAAGTAAATTTGTGTATGTTTTTTTCTTCTTGCAATTTCTTATAACATTTTAACATTCATTTTGTCAGGGAAAAAGGCAATGCACTGTGTTAAAATTGACTTGAACCGCAACAAGTTTTTTTTTGTATGTGTGTGTTTGTGTTCACAGAGTTTGAGAACGAATTCGAAGCCAAGTAGTTTTTTTCTTTCTTCCAATGTTTTTTTTTCTCATGTTTTTCATTCGTATTCTTTCATCAAGCAAAAAGAACAGTAACCAGGAATATCATTTCTCATTTAATATTCATTTCTAAAATTGGTTTATGTAACAAAAATAGTATTAGCACTTAACTTAAAGGATTAACCAAGACAAATTGCAGACGAATTTGTCACCAACTCTGATCGCATGGTATGTGTGTGTGTGTGTGTGTGTTTGTGGTGAAATATGTGTGTTTGTTTTTGTTCAATTACAACAAAATCGGCATTTTAAACCAGTGTTTTGACTGAAAACCAGACAAAATGAACTTTCTAGCTGCGCATTTTACGGTTTCAATTTTTTTTCCATCAATTTTTTTTAAAAAGAACTGCTTTTTAGTACTTCTTTGTGTTTGTGATAGTTTTTATTGGATATTCTTTGTGTTTACTTGCTATGAATGTTTTTTATGAACTACAGGGTTGTTCGGTTGGTTTCTATTCGGTGTAATTGTTTGTTTATTGTGAGAAATTTATACGTGTGATAAATTAGGTGCCAAAATAGTTGCCTTTTTTTTGCTTTCTATAGACAATGTTTTTCTATAGCAAATAAATATATTTACTACAGTGACTGTTGTAAGTTACAACTTGTAACTTGTGATTTAACTCTTTGCGAAGATACTGTGATCACATTGAATCGGATGAGGTTTACATACAGAACGATTAAATTGTTCCGTAATGGGGAGGTTTTTAAGAAAACCAACTGGAAAAGTTGGAATTGTTTTGAAAATATATCTTGTTGGATGTTTCAGAATGAAAATCGACCGGAATTAACTAAGATTCAAATGATCAAAAAGACGATTTGATTTGAATAGGTGGATTGGGATTCAAAAAGTGTGAGTGTTTTGGGGCAAAAATAATAATGTTTGTGACAGCTCTAAATAGTATTGGCCCTTTAATGTATTTCATCAACTGTTCACTTCTTATGTTTATTTCTTCTTTTTCTTTGGGATAGAAAATACTGGTTTGGATCAGAAAAAACCATATTGAGTGTGTTTGACCTTAAATGAATGTTTGTAAACCTGTAATCCTATTGGAATTCTGTCGCAATGCATATTTCATGGGCAAGGTGACATTGTGCCAAGTAAAACCGTATTCTTGAGGCTATTTCAAAACATAAAGATTTTCAGTTGTTCATTTTCCTACAAATTCGGTAGCATTAAAACATCAAATATATTAAAAGATTTGTGTGTTGGTTTTGAGTGAGTGAGTGTGCTTGTCAGAGAGAAAAAAAAAGTGTCACCGCGCATCGTTTAATCGTTATTCCTATTTTAAATGTTTTCACGTAATTTTATTTAGAGCGTGCATTTTTCTTGTTATTTTTAATCTTATTTAATTGATTTTAAAAACTGTCTTGTTGCTTATGCTGCTGCTTGTTTTCTTTCTGCAATATAATGCATAAGTTGTAGGTGCCGATTGTTATTATTATTATTTTTTTCATCTTATTTTTCATTTCTTCTAAGATGTAGTAATCATTCATTGTGACATAATGATACAATTAAGTAAATTACATGCAAATGATGCCTTTGCCAAATAATTTATACATTCAACAATTTAAAGTGATGATGATGATTCAAGAGAGATAGAGAGAGAGAGATGAATGATCCAAATGAAAATCTCATTTTCTTTTTTTCTTCGTTAGCATTGTGTGTTTTTATGTTCGTTTTTCGTTTTCTCGACGTCGACGTCTCTCTTGTTCCCATTCACACATCATTTTATTCGTATTTATCCACTAAATAGAGATGCGTCTAAATCGAACAGAGAACCTTGTATCGAACAGTAATAGTTAAGACGTTGTTGGCATTGAGATCACTTGTGAGAAAGTTTTTCTTTTCCATTTCTATTTGTAAGCTACGTAAAACATTGTGTGTTTGTATATGTGTTTGTGTGTGAATTACAAATTCATAAATTCGTCACCCTCATCATCATTGTAATTGGTGGCGGTGTCTTCGTTGCCAGGCGTTGAGCAACTGTTGCTCGTCGTCTCATCAAAATCACCCATTTGCTGTGGCATTCGTCCGTTTGCCGATTGCTGCATTTGATGTTGCTTTTGCTCTTTGACTCGGATGTGCAGCATAAAATCGTTTGTTGGTTCACTTCCGCATTTTGAATGTGGTAATAAATTCGTTGCATTGTTGCTGTTATTGACTTTATTGGGTTGGATTTTCGATGTGCCATCGTTTTTAATTGATTTCGCACACATCTTGGCTGGTGTTCGGCATGGATTCTCAAATGTATTTTCACTAGCATTAGCATTGCTTACAGCTGCCGCAGCCGTAGCCGTAGCCGCAGCAGCACTGTATTTAGCTGTCATTCGTACATTCTTGGCATTATTTTCATTGTTACTATTACTGCTGTTGTTATTATTATTGTTACTATCACTGTGACTGCAAGCCGTATTCAATTTTGACGACGACGTCGACGAAGATGACGACGTATTATTGATTGGACTCTTCTCCGTCAAACCAATCGTCGTTGCAATATTGACATTGGCGCCGCCATTATCTTTTGGAGTAGTATTATTAATTGAAAATTGATTTTGTTGAAATAATTGATGCGATGAATGGTGGTGCTGTTGTTGTTGCCTTTTGTCATTGCTCTCATAGTCGCTAATATTGTAGAAGTGGTTGTTCGATTCGGTGCCAATCAACTGGCTATTATTACTGTGTTTCGTTGTGTTCTGGTGGTGATGGTGATGGTGATGCTGATGTCGTTGGTTTGGCTGCTTTTCATGCTGTTCATGTTGCATGTGCATAAAATTGTTGATGTTACTATTTGATGCGTTCATAACGTCGGCATAAATGCTATCGCTATAGTTTGTTGGATCGAGATGATCTTTGTTGGCGTAGCTAGCACTCAAATGTAACTTTCGATCTTCGTACGTTTGCTTATGAAGAGCGTCCGAGGCAAATTTACGTGTGATTTGATTGCCCAATAGCGATGTGGGTGACATTGAAGCGGCACCATATCCGGAATAGCTACTTGGCGTCGGTGGTGGTGAATTAAAAAGAACCGACTTTTCTTCCTGTTTGATCATTCGTGTGTTGTCTGGTGACATAATTTGCTCGGGATGATGCATTTTGGGCGGCGTTCTCGACGGTGACAATGCATGATGGTATTGCGAATTTGATTGCAGTCCAAACTGTGTGCCGGCATTTGGATAGTTCATTGGATAGCCGGTATTTTTCATTATCATTGCATCTGGATTATGTGGCTGATGCGGTGAATGCATCAACGGATTCTCGACTAAATGATCACGATTTTCTCCCTTGTAAATTTTACGCATCAATTCCAAATCTCTGCCATAGAGCTGGCTGTACAGGTGCTCATTAGACAGTGGCATTGATCCGGGGG